GCACTTATCATGGTGAGCAGAATGATCTGATCGATCAATGGAGCTGTGTTGACACCTTCAAAGTCGGACCACCAGTGGAGGACGAAACATTTTTCGGTGTCGCTAGTGTAACAGAAGGTCTACCGACGCAAAAACGTTCGCATCAATCTTCGATCGCTGACGCGGCAACAACTATTCTGGAAGCAGTGCCAGATATTGTATCGCATCCAGAGCCTGAAAAACTCCATTCAGTGAAGCGGCGAAGGATGGCTGAGCGACAGGCACAGAGCCTCGTGATCGAATCAACGTATACGCCTAAGTCAGCGCCTCTGCTAGATCCTAGTCACCAAGCGTCTTGTCTCAGTACCAGTGATGGTCCTATTGTTAGCTCTCCAGGTGCCGATGACAGAGAACATAGTACTATAAGCCTAGCCCTGTCTTCAACCAACCACTACGATGTAGAAGATAGCGACGGCGCTTATGTTCAGGGAGCAGTCGAGGAGCAGTCACAGGCAAGAAGGTCCATTACTCCTCCCCAAGGAACTCCATCTGAACAAGACGTTCGTGGGGAATCCAACAGGCGTGTGATGAGTAGACAAGGCAGCGGAAGCGAAGTTGGGAAAATCCCCGAAGATGAACACAGCTATAACGAGGCAAGCATTATCCGTCCGTCGAGATCACAACGGCGCAGACATACGATTTGGACACCCGCGATGGCACGCAAGCCCTCAAACACTTCTCTTAGACCATTGAACTACAAAACAGTACCTGCGAGGGCATCGCAGCGAGTAACGTTAAGCCAACCACAAAGAAAGCCGGTACCGAGACGACGCAATACCAATAAACGGCCTCGAACTTGCTTCCTGGGATCAGATACACCAGGCACAACGGCTGACCATGGAACCGACATCGACTATAGTTCTGACCTTAGCATGTCTTGTCAAATAACCGACCTAACACTCTGCACTATTCCGCATAGCTCTTCAGTCGTGACGGCGATGTTACGTCCTTAAAGATCGGGTAATTACCTCAAGGTGGTAGCCCTAGGTCGCAAGGTCCTTGGCGAACAGGGAAAAGTTATCCGCATGACCCAAATGTCGCCAGATTCATAGGTGCTGCTAGGATATCGGTGTAATAGTAGCGTTCTAGACCTCTGTAATCGCCGAAGCCCGAATACAGAGTGGGTTAACGGTTTTCATAATAATGCTGCTACCTATGAAATGGACCACTCAGACAACGACGACAACGACCACGATTGCGACGAAGAGAACGAACATGAGGAGGAGTTTACAGAAAGATACAGCCAACGAATACGCAAGTTGTGGCTAGAGTCCGAGGAAGTACTTCTACTCTCGTTGAAGGATAAACAGGGTATGGCATAGGAAGAGGTGTGTAAACGCTTCCCTGGTCGGTCGCTTAGTGCAATAAAATTGCGCTACTACACGTTGCGGAAGAGAGGCTAGTGAAGCTACTGCAGTTTTGCGAACCTAGACAGCACCAAGTATATCTATGATTGCATTTGCTTTCTTGCGCCAGACCTCAGGGTGATCGATCGCAAAGTAGTCTTAGTCATCACCAGTCCATATGCTTGACGCATTCGAGCATTTGTAGCCCTTCAAACCCTTCTACACACCAGAAACATCCTAGAATTAACTTTTTCGAAGCAATCTATACAAAAGTCACAATGTTGATACTCTTGAATAGTATCGAGCGTTTGGAACACGATAACGGCAAGGTGACTTGCGTATGAGCGCTCAGTCTTTCCCTTGATAAAGGGACAACGAGTTGCGATAGTTCAGATATTCAGGTTACAAGGGCTCGAAGGTCTACCTAATTAATCTCTTCTCCTGCAGTAAGTCAACGTGTAACTTGTTTTGTATCTTGCCACAAAAATGTCCGCTGAGGTTGCGATCCACGCTCTGTTATAGCGAAACCTACTGGCTTCGTCTCGGGTAACCTCTAATCTTGTGACACATCTAAGGTGCGTCCCTAAGTGAGGAGACGCAATACGACGCGAGACAGGTTGGCGATTCGGAGCTTCGGCGCCTCCCATTTGCGGGCTTGTAAAGCTGCTATCAGTCTACTATAACTGTAAGGCTGTTGCTCTTCAAGCACATCAGCGTCCGATATAGATTGCTGCTATGTTGGCTGTAATATCAACCGTTTCATCACTGTCGTTAATCAGCTCGATAGCGGTACCCCCCTGTCTATTAGTGACCTTAGGGATCACTGAAGCGCTCAGTGGATTGTGCGGAGAGTGCGACGTAGGAAGATCGACTTCCTAGGTTCATTAGATCGCTCTGATGTAAAAGCAAGCATGCCAGCAGCCCCATAGTGCGAAGCAGGAGATCTCTCAAAACAAGCCCGAGCTGGCGGGATACGCTAACATCGCTTAGCATGCATGAGCCCGCATTAGCGTTCTCGTCGCCTGCTGTATTCTATTGTAAAGAATACGGCGCTATGCCAATACCGTATGCCTCTCAAGATAGACGTGGCGCATGCTGTTAGCTTTCTTGAAGCATCGATGACTCGCGCGTACTTGTACACAGCCGTTGCGTTTTTGGGTGCTCTGTTCCCTGCTTGCGTTTTGGGTCGCGATTGAGTAGGCGAAGGCTGCGTGAATATGGCTTTCAGCATAATGCACATCAATAGCATTTCGTTATCCGCGTTAAAGCTGCTTGTTGGCGTCAGACTAATGCCTCGCTTGAGATGTCCCAGGCTGTTCTTAACGCTATTGTCGCTGCGCTGCGTTCTGAGCCCCACAATAGTTAGTGGCGCAGATTTCCTGTGGCCAGTGTGTCCTTGCACAAGCCAACATCCGCTGGACAGACATCCTAACGTGCTCTTACAGCAAACGACGATCCGTAACTCGCGCTTTCCACACTATTAGATCGCGTCTTTAGGTAACGACTGCTTCTCAATCTGCAGCACGGTGGCTGTCGCGCGACCATGCGTTGGCAGCCTTGTCCAAGCAGCCTCACGTCACAGCGCGGGCGGGCTGCGCCTCCTGTCCTAGGTGTAGAAGATGCAGCCTGCCCCAAAAATGAGAAGGCCAGTCTTCATCACCTCTACCTTAGCAAACCGTCACTTTGCACTCGAAACGAATAGGATAGCTACGATCTCTACGCCCTACGCGAGCCAGCCGCCGTGCGCCGTCGATTCCCTCAGCTTGCATCGAAGCTCTAAGACTTCCTTCTACTGCTCGCGCGTACGGACAGATACACAGCCTAATGCGGCTGCTATACACTACTAGCGAGGGGAGGCTCGAATAGACCGATGACTTAATCGGAGACAAGATTCCCTTATATGCGATCCTGTCGCACACCTAGGGTGGGCAGGAGGCAACCTTTAAGGACCTTCGGCACTATAGCAGTATAGAGGAAGTTGATAAGAAAGTCAAGGAGGGCTATCGAAAGATTTTCTTCTGCGCTCAGCAAGCTAAGCGCGATAGGCTGGATTATTTTTGGGTAGACACCTGCTGCATCGACAAGACGAACAGCTAAGAACTTCAGGAAGCGATCAACTCTATGTTCCGCTGGTATTAGAACGCAAAGAAGTGCTACGTATACCTTCTAGACGTTGAGTGCAACACCCCTGATGCGGATAGTGAATCAAACTGGAGGTGGAAGCCGGCCTTTAGGAAAAGCAAGTAGTTCACTAGAGGCTGGACGCTTCAGGAACTGCTTGCTCCTGCATCGGTGGCGTTCTATTCGAAAGAGGGAGATCTGCTAGGGGACAAGCAGTCTTTGAGAGACACTATTTACGAAATCACAGGTATACCTATCGAGGCATTGTCAGGGAAAGAAGTGTACAACTTTAGCGTAGCTGAGCGGTTCTCTTGGGCGCGTAACCGCTAGACGACACGCCTAGAAGATGGAGCTTATTGCCTGCTAGGCATATTCGGCATTCATCTACCTCTGATCTACAGCGAGGGCAAAGAGAACGCGCTGAAGCGATTAGAAAAAGAGATACGAGAGTCTTTCGACTAAGTCGCGAGTATTCCTGTTAACAACACCGATGCTCCTAGCCGAAACTAGGAGGAGAGGTTTGGCAAAATCTTCAGCTGGCTTTCGGCTCCTGACCCGTCTACTAACTACTACAAAGCGCACAAGCAGCGGCAGGCTAAGACAGGTCTCTAGCTGCTAGAAAGCACAAAGTTCACAGACTGGAAGAAAAGAGCAGCGTCGCGACTGTGGCTGTACGGGATCCTGGGATGTAGAAAGACTATCCTGAGCTCTACTGTTGTTGAGAATCTGCTGCAATACTGCCATGATGACACTAACATAGTGACGGCGTACTTTTACTTCGACTTCAACGATGCACAGAAACAAGATCTGGAGCTTATGCTGCGCTCGCTGCTCTGCCAGCTTGTGCAGCGGTCGGTCGTAATACCTAAGGGCGTTGATGCGTTGTTCTTATCTTGCGAGAACAGGCAACGGAAGCTATCGTCACATGCGCTTTTACAAGTAACAAAGGAAGCGGCGCAAGAGTTCACGCACGTGTACGTTGTTCTCGATGCTCTTGATAAGTGTGCGCAGCGCTTAGAGCTGATAGATATGCTCGAAGCAGTAGCTGAGTGGCAGCTTGACAATCTGCATCTGCTCATAACTAGCCGGAAAGAGCGGGATATCGAGCGCTCCTTAGAGGAATACATCAGGGAGGAGGACGCTATGTGTCTTCAGAGGGATGTAGTGGACAAGGACATCCAACGATACGTTCAACAAAGGCTGCATGACGACAAGGGCTTAGCGAAATAGAACAAGAACGCCGCTGTCAGGCAGGAGATTGAGGTTGCACTAATGCGCGGAGCTTGCGGAATGTAGGTGTTTTCACCCAGTCCCCCGCAGAGCTATAGCTGACGATAGCGTAGGTTCCGATGGGCTGTGTGTCAGCTAGACACACTAGGGAAGTGCTGCAATCGAGCGATGCTGCGCAAATCTCTTGCCACTTTGCCGCGGACGCTAGACTAGACATACGACCGCATTCTTACCGCGATAGGCGAGGAATATTCTGAGTATGCCATGCGTATCCTGCAGTGGCTGACGTTCTCTGCGCGGCCGCTGTCCGTCGAAGAGGTCGCCGAAGTCGTCGCTATCGACGTAACGCGCGACCCAGCGTTCGACCGTGATGAGGTGCTAGAAGATCCGCTGGAAGTGCTGGACATCTGCTCTAGTCTAGTCACCATTACAACGAATAAAGTAGATAGAAGATTAGGGTCTGCTTAACGGATTGTTGCTCTAGCACATTACTTAGTGCAGGAGTACCTTGTGTCAGACAGGATTAAGCAAGGGTTAGCAAAGCAGTACAGCATGCAAGAGGCCGCATGTCAGAGCGCAATAACAAGAGGTTCTTTAAAGTACCTAATGCAGCTCTAGCAACTATTAGAAAGAGAGACACTACAGGTGTTTGCACTTGCGAGGTACTCAGCAGAATTCTAGAGCAGCCACCTTCGAAAGACTAGGGACAAGGGAGAACAAGCTAGTCAGCTGGCGGCGAGTTTAATAGCTAAGGAACAGCCTGCATATCTCAATTAGATCTAGTTGCATAATCTAGACCATCCTTGGGAGGAGCCAGATTTAGAAAAAAGTGCCGATAGCATACCTATGCCGCTTTACTACGCCGCATTGTTAGGCTTAAGTACGGTTACGAAACTGCTGTTCGACAAGGGCGCTAACGTCAACACGCAGGGTGGAGTCTACGGCAACGCACTGCAGGCAGCTTCAGCTAGAGGCCACGAGCAGGTAGTCAAGACGCTGCTCGACAAGGGCGCCGATGTTAACGCGCAGGGTGGACACTACTGCAATGCACTATACGCAGCTTCATACAGAGGCCACGAGCAGATAGTCGAGATGCTGCTCAACGCGGGCGCTAACGTCAACACGCAGGGTGGATACTACGGCAACGCACTGCAGGCAGCTTCAGCTAGAGGCCACGAGCAGGTAGTCAAGACGCTGCTCGACACAGGCGCCGATGTTAACGCACAGGGTGGAGTCTACGGCAACGCACTGCAGGCAGCTTCAGCTAGAGGCCACGAGCAGGTAGTCAAGACGCTGCTCGACACGGGCGCTGAGGTCAACGCGCAGGGTGGAGTCTACAGCAACGCACTGCAGGCAGCTTCATGCGGAGGCCACGAGCAGGTAGTCAAGACGCTGCTCGACACAGGCGCCGAGGTTAACGCACAGGGTGGAGAGTACGGCAAAGCACTGCAGGCGGCTTCGTTTAGGGGCCATACAGAGATTGTAACGCTGCTGCTTGACAGAGGCGCCCAAACCAATGCACTGGGTGAATACTACGGCAACGTACTCCAGGCGGCTTCATTCGGAGGCCACAAAGATTTGGTCAAGCTTTTGATCTCGAGACTCGATATTACATTACAATCCCAAGATCTCTATGGGCGGACTCTACTTTGGTGGGCAGCGGCTGGTGGCGATATAGCCACTATCGAGACACTGATCCGTCAGTACAACTTCGACCCTCGAGAACCCGACAAGTATGGGCGCACACCGTTCTGGATAGCTACTAAGAAAGGACATGACGCAGCCTCAAAGCTGTTGTGGGAGGAATGTGAAGAAACAAGCACCGAGCGACCAGCACCAATCAAGATCGACAACAATCAAAGAGGGATACTCTGCGACGTCTGTACTTCTCGTACCATAGCGCCCGCCTTCCATTACCATTGCTATCTTTGTGCTGGAGGAGACTGGGACATGTGCGAAGATTGCAAGGCGAGCGGAGCCTGCTGTGCAGACGCTGCGCATATGTTGGTGAAGCACACGATGAAGAATGAAGAGTTGGTTCAGGTGGCAATTTGAGTATGGCTCGGGGAAATTTTTGGTTACCGTTATGTCGCTAATTTAATTAGTGATATGTAACTGTGTATTTCTCATCGACCAATGTCTGTGACAACTGACTGGTACGGCGACGTCGTGCGCCAGAGATGAATAATAGAATGATTGCATCAGCGTGCGTATTGTTCGTAGAGGTGAATCTTTCAGCACTCTTCATTGAGTTGCGTATCAATGTTTTCCATGCTGTTAAGGCACTCCTGCCCTTCTTTCTAGGTATGCGACAGGATCGCATACGGGGGGATCTCGTCCCCGATCAAGTCATCGGTCCACTCGAGCCTCCCCTCGCCTGTACCTAGCATAGATAGCATGACGCCAGTCTCGTCCATGTTGTATACATTCTCCTTAGAGATAGCTGGGTCTCCCAGCAACCTCCCGACCACTTTAAACCAGTGTGTCATCTTCCAGCAGGTGTTCTTCTCATGACGACTCCAGTCCAGCGCCTTGACTCTTCTCGCTTGTGTCTCTGGTAGGCGTTTCTCAAAACCCCTGAGTCCAGTTTTTGCCGGGCGGCTTCAGCGGGCGGTCGGTCTCGGGTCGCTGGCGGGTGACGCAGAAGGCTAGAAAACGAATGTACTTGATGCGCATAGGCTGGCCCAGATCAGAAATTTGTAGAAGAAAATGGACGCTAGAACACGGCTGGCCTTGTCTACCATGGCGGACTTGTTAGCAATAGGAAAAGAAGAACGAGGAACGTCCAGCCAAACGCCGAGCAGGGAGCAGAGTAACCTTATGCACAATAACTGTGTACGCGCGCGGTTGTAGACACTTCTAGAAAGCTATGAACATGCGCCACGCCTATTTTGAGATGCATACGAGACTGGCATAGCGCCGTATTCTTTACGATAGAATACAGCAGACAATAAGAACGCTAATGCAGGCTCATGCACGTTAAGCGATCCTAGCGCGTTCCGCCAGCCCGGGCTTGTTTCCAGAGATCTTCTGCTTCGCACTACGGGGCTGCCGGCATGCTCACTCCTGGGTCGGAATTATCTCACGAGCCTGGAGAGTCAATCTGCCTACGTCGCGCTCTTTGCACAACCTACCGAGCGCTTTAGTCGTCCTAAACGTTACTAATAAACAGGGGGGTATCGCTAACGAGTTAATTAACGACGGTAACGAAACAATTGATATCACGGCTAACATAGCAGCGAGTTATGTCGGACGCTAATGTGCTTAAAGAGCAACAGCTATACAGTTACAGTAGATTCATAGCAGTTTTACAAGCCCACGGATGGGAGACGCCGAAGCTCCGAACCGCCAACCTGTCTCGCGACATAGTGTGTCTCCTCACTCAGGGACGCACCTTAGAAATCTTTAATGATGACATTGAATTCCTAGGTTTCGATAAAGGCGTCGTGTAAGTTGCGACGTTAGTATAGATGTAGGACAGCCCTGTCGTAAGCAAGGCACAGTTTCGCCATCAGAGCAGACTCTTCGCGCATCATGCGGGAAGGCCTCTACACGAGCGTGATTACTGTATAGCTAGGGTCTCAGAAGCTTAGAAACAGCCTCAGCATAGCACTTGAGAGGAACATCGCTAGAAACAAGACGCACGCAAGCCTTGTCATTAGTGCGTTAGAGATAGAGTACCTATAGTTTGCTCCGCCGTGCGTAGATGTACGTTAGACGGCGAACGTGTAATCAAATTATACTCGTTTTAATGCTAAATATAGATCGACTATTAGTACGTGGTAGATTTGCTACTCTAGTTCCACGTCTTTTGTACTGCCTAGACTGTGTCTGCCTTCAAGGCTTCAAGACGTCTGTAGTACATATCGCTTCTAAGTTCTGCTATTGTCTAATTCTTATGCACTGCTAGCTTAGACAAGAGCTGCCTTTAGACTTCTAAATTTCCTTTAACATTGTATAATTCGCGAGGATTATCTTTGTTAATCTGCTCTGTAAGCTAGCCTTTGTCGTTAAAGATTCTGCCTTTATAGTAGCGTTTCCGCTCTATCTAGCGTACATAACTATTTTCTTTAATAAACGCTTAGAACTAATTCTCTAGTCTCTAGTTTACTAGCATGTTAGATAAATAACAACTATATAGTTAATAACTCTTTACAGGTCTATTTAAATCTGTTACTAGGGCTAGCCTAAGCTCCTTATAATAAAGGCTATGTAAGGGCTAGCTTTTCGTGTAATGCTTCTAACTAATCGCAATCCGAACTTCGTTGCTGCTCCTAGTACGAAGAGCAGCAAGATTACTAGTTGTAACACTTGCCTTTTGCTTCTTCGCAGCAGTCTAAGCATATTTACATTAACCTGCAATATATAGTACTATACACACTCTCTAAAGTATGCTATACGTTTTGAGTAGCTCTATAAGTTATGCAATTAGGTACAAGAATATCTTATAGCAAAGAATTAACTGCATACTAAGGATCTCTTTTTAGCAGCCCTTTGCTTTTCTATATACTTCTCTATAATTTTTATATAACTACAATATCCTTACTACACTAAGCACTATATTACACCTTATCTTCTTATATTATATGTTCCCTACTCCTAATACATATACACAGGAACTCTTTTAATTAATTATTTATAGAGTTAGTTAAAGTGCTGTTAATAAAAACGCTTTGTTAGACTATGCATAAACTAAAATGCAAGAAGTAGAAGAAGAGGTATGTTAGAACAGTTAAGACGAACCTAGCTAAACTAACACTAGTTAGTTGCTTTGCGTAGGAAAATCCTTCCTGTCCTTCTTTACAACTACAGAAGACAATAGTCTTACCTTTATCTAAGAAAATTTGCCTTTTTATACATTAGCGTTTAGATACTCTTTACTGTGCAGACTCTAGGCAGCTATTAAAATGTCTATATCTATTCTACAAAGTATTAACTTCTCTCTCTAAGCTCTTAAACTACTTCTCTTATTTATTAGAACGCCTAGTACGAGTATTTGTAACGCTGTTAATACTAAGTTTAGTAAAATGTCTTATGTAAATAGGAAAACACTAGGTTAGCACAATAAGAAGAGATATGCAACTTAAT